CTTATCAGTGAGACCTTCCTTATATAAAATTGCAGGATCCTCATCACTCATTATCTCCCTTCTCTGCCTTATTTTTCTCTATATCACTTATCACATCTGATATAATACGTACTTCCCTGTATATTTATATATTTTCTTTCTCTCCCATAAGAAGTAAGTTCCACAAGGGAGAGGACCTTAATTTGTTCACTAATGTATCCACAGCATCTAGACACGTGCTTGGCACATAGCAGACATCCAATAAATATCTATTGAATGAATGAAGGACAAATCCTATATGCCCATTGAGGCAGCGGAATTAGAGGATCTTCTTCTCTTTCTCCTTCTTCTTCTTCTTTTTGACAGAGTTTAGCCCTTGTCACCCAGGTTGGAGTGCAATGGCACCGTCTTGGCTCACTGCAACCTCCACTTCCTAGGTTCAAACAATTCTCATGCCTCACGAGTAGCTGAGATTACAGGTGCATGCCACCATGCCCAGCTAATTTTGTATTTTTAGTAGAGATGGGGTTTCACTATGTTGCCCTGGCTGGTCTCGAGCTCCTGACCTCAAGTGATCCACCCGCCTTGGCCTCCCAAAGTGCTGGGATTACAGGCGTGAGCCTCCACGCCCGGCCCCTTTTCTTCTTTTTTAAAAAAGGTACTTAAAAAAAAAAAAAGTGTGGTAAAATATACACAGCATAAAATTTTTCATTTTAACAATTTGTAAATGTACAGTTTGCTGGCATCAAGTATATTCACACTGTAGTATAGCCACCACCTCCATGCATCCCACAGTTCTTTTCTTGCAACATTGAAACTCTGTACCCTGTTTCTTCTTTATACACTAAGTTAATGCCTGAATTTCTTATAACAAACATTTATTACTATAATGTCAAAAGGCCATTTCCATTTTGGGAACAGACTAATCATAAATTTATATTCATTTCATAAGACAATAATTGAGAAAAGACTGTGTTTCTATTCCTTGAACAGATTAAATGTGAAACTGTCCAGTTTTTTAAATGATTCATTAATGTGTTCCTCTGGGAGCTTGAATATTCAGTGCCAGCTGTTTCCCTCAGTAATATCTGAATTTAATATTTTACCTTAAGAAATATGATGCCAAAGAAATAGTAAATATTTAACTACATATGGTATTATTTTAATATGTTAACATGTTTTCTTTACTTGGAGTTTGTTTAATTAGCAATACTGTCACAGTTCTGCAACATCATAATACAGAGAAGGGAGAGAGGTTAAGTGGCACCTACTCAGAGCCTACTAGGTGTCAGGTGCTTTGCAGATATTAGGAGTGGCCTCCACGTCCTCAGACCTCACTCACTTGGCATTACACTCCAGATTGACTTTCACCATCTCCATTTTGTGGCAAATGCTCTTGACAAGATCACCAATTATTTCCCTGTCACTAAATCCCAATAGACAATTTTCAGTCTTTATTCTCTTAACCTTATAGCTGCAGTTAGCACAGATTATCATCCCCTTCTTATCAAAACCCCTTCTTCCTTTGGTTCATATTCAGAGCTTTTTTATTTCACTTCCTCAATACCTTTATTATTTTTCAATTTCTCTCCATATCCACTGTCCCCACCCAAACTGGTCTGACACTGTATACTCTTGCCTGGACTACTCTTCTAGCCTCCTAACTGGTCTCTCTGCCTCCAGTCTGCCCACCCTCAATCTGTTTCCTACACAACTGCCAATGTCCTCTCCAAACTGCGATCACACCACTTCCCTTGTTTATGACTCCTTGATGGATTTTCTTTGCTCTAAAATTCAGTATCTTTATTCTGGTCTACAGAGCCCTTCATCCTCTTGTTCCTGCCTGTCTCACCAGACTCAGCTTGAGCCACTCTCATTTTTGATCTTTCTACTTGAGGATTCTTTAAGTTTCTTGAATAAGCCAAACACTCTTTCATCTCTGGATCTTTACACATGCTCCTCCCTCTGCCTGGACAACTCTTTATTCATTTATTTATCCACTCAACAAATACTTATTGAGTGCCTGCCTGGTGCCGGGCACTGTTCTAAGTATTGGGGATATAGCACTGAACAAAATAGAGATTCCTATGCTTGTAGAGCTTGCATTCTAGCCAGAGGAGAGAGAGAAAAATTAATGAAGGCAATAAATAAGTAAACCGCATGGTATTTTAGAAGGTAATAAGTACTATGGAAAAAAGAAAAGGTAGAGAGCAAGGTAAGCAGGATCTACAGTACAGAAGAGGGTGGGTTGGTGAAATTTTCAATGGCAAGCTCAAGGTAAGCCTCCTTGAGAGGGTGATATTTAAGCAAAGACTCGAAGAAGGTGAGAGAATAAGCCATGTGGATATCCGAGGGAAGAACATTCTAGGGAGAGGAAGTCGTCATTGCAAACTTATGAGGGGGACTCTTGCATGCTGTGTTAGAGGAATGGCAAAGAAGATGGTATGGCTGAAGTGGAGTAAGCAAGGCCAAGCACAGTAAGAGATGGTACTGAAGAGACAGCCGGAGCCTAGACTGTGAAGGGGCTGGGAGGCCACTTTATGGAGTATGGCTTTTTTTCTCCGAGTGAATTGTGAAGCTATTGGTGGGGTTTGAGCAGAATAGTTATATAATCTAATTAATTTTATTCAAACATCCCTCTATGCAATGTTGAGAATAGACTCACGGGAAGATGTGGGTAGGGGAAGATGAAGCAGGAAGACTGTTCGGGAGGATAGTACAGTAATCCAAGTGAGAGATGATGGTGGCTTGGGCCAGAGCAGTAGCATTCGAGGTGGTGAGAAGGGGCTGGATTATGGACATATTTTGACAGTATAACCATCTTGACTTGCTGGTTAGATATAAAGTGTGAGCAGGGCCATATCCTATATGTAGGATCTGAAACTTATCTAGTTTGTGGGCCTTGTTTAAAAAACATACAAAATAAAGTACAAATGTGAGTATGTATATAAAATAAGAAAAATTATGCCAATCGGGTAGACTTTGTCAGGACAAGATGAGTCAGGTACTCTAACACGTGATTTGATATGCTGGGATTCATAAAATCCGTGACTTCACACACATACTCATTGGTTGTAGTACTGCCTCAGGTCTGTGTCCTATAAACATAGGAATTCAGATCAATTCTATTTAATGATATTCCCATAAAAAAAAGAGTATGCTGCACTTATAATTCTGTATGCTGCATTGTCCAGTATATTCTTAACCGTTAATAAATCCCTTTTTTGGAGACAGGGTCTTGCTCTGTTGCCCAGGCTGTAGTGCAGTGGCACAATCGCAGCTCACTGCAGCCTCGACCTTCCAGGCTCAAGCAATCCTCCCACCTCAGCCTCTCAACTAGCTGGGACTACAATACAGGTTCACGCCACCAAGACTGGTTAATTTTTATATTTTTTTTGTAGAGACAGTTTTGCCATGTTGCCCAGGCTCGTCTCGAACACCTGAGCTCAAGTGATCCGCCTGCCTCGGCATGAAAAATCCCATTTTAATCTAGGCCTCAGTAAGAACCAAATCTTCTGCATACAAGTCTATGTTTTAGAAGGATTTTCCACAGTCTAGCTTCTGGCTGTGTACATTTCAAACCTTGTGTCACCTCCACTACCTCCATGCTACCATAGGACAGATTCATATCACAATATGACTTCTGGTTCTCTACTGTTCTGTCACTACACCAGGTGAGTCAGCACATTGGCTGTAAGCGGTGTTCCAGGAAGCCAACCTTTTATTGGGACAGCAGTATGCAGTATGCAAGGAAGTGACTGCAAACGACATAAATATATCTTGCCAAAGCCCAGCTAAATGTATCCCTAACTCAACTTTACCTAAGCAGGATCCCAAAAAATGTCCTTGGTCACTCCAACAGCACCTAATACAAGGGGAAACATGATGGAATGAAATTTGGAATGGAAAGAGACAGTGGTCTTAACTGACTGCAGTAAGAATATCTTACGGTCCCAAATTTTACAAAAGTATATGACAATGTGAACACATTCCTAGGGGCCTTTCTAGGGCCTTGGAATGTGAGGGTTCCTCAGGCTAAAACTTCATTAACTTCAGGTGAAGCTGGCACTGCATATGGGGTGTGACAGGAAGGGAGACATTAAGGATGATTCTGAAGGTTTTAGCCTGAGGAATGAATAGGATGAAGTTGCCATTCCTGAGATGGTGAACACCTCAGGAGGAGAAGGCGGATGAAGTGGAGAGGGCGGGGAGGGAGAAGATCAAGAGTTCAGTGTGACCACGATAAGTTGAGATGCCTATTAGGCAGCCAAATGGAGATGCCAAGTAACTCTTACCATTCCGTTGGTGGACTAGTCCTACTTGTCTTTCACAGTTCAGCTAAGTGTCATCTCCTCATTTTGGACTCACTGGGTAAGGTTGAGTCCATTGTTATATACTCTGCAGCATGCTGTACCTCTCTTTTTGTAAGAATTAACACCCCCGTGACTTTTTCTTTTTTTTTTTTTTGAGACAGAGTTTCACTCTTGTTGCCCAGGCTGGAGTGCAATGGTGCAATCTCAGCTCACTGCAACCTCTGCCTCCCGGGTTCAAACGATTCTCCTGCCTCCGCCTCCCGAGTAGCTGGGATTACAGGCATGTTCCACCATGCCCGGCTAATTTTGTATTTTTGGTAGAGACAGGGTTTCTCCATGTTGGTCAGGCTGGTCTCGAACTCCTGACCTCAGGTGATCCACCTGCCTTGGCCTCCCAAAGTGCTGGGATTATGGGCGTGAGCCACTGTGCCCGGCCGTGATATTTTTAATGGTTGTTGCTATGGTTTGGATATGTGTCCCCACCAAAGCTCATGTTGAAATTTGATCCGCAGTTTGATCACGTTGGGAGGTTCAGCCCAATGGGAGAAATTTAGGTCATGGGGGTGGGTCCCTCAGGAATAGATTAATGCCTTCCCTGGGGTGGGTGAGTGAGTTCTTGCTTACTTACCTGAGAACTAGTTGTTAAAAAGAACCTGACACCTCCCCTCACTCTCTCTGGCTTCCTCTCTTGCCATGGAATATCTGCAGTCTAGCTTCCCTGCGCCTTCCACCGTGAATGGAAGCAGCCTGAGGACCTCACCAGAAGCTAAGTAGATGCTATGGCCATGCTTCTTGTACAGTCTGCAGAACCGTGAGTCAAATTTTTAAAATAAATTACCCAGCCTCAGGTATTCCTTTATAGCAACACAAAGTGGGCTAAGATAATTGTCTGTCTTGCGCTGCACTAGATAAACCTGGGACTGTGCATTACATACTGCTGCTATCTGTAATGTATAACACAGTACACAGCACTGGATAGATCTTCAAGAAATGTTGAAATGTTTGTTGAATAAATGATACACAGTCAAGTAATTTTTCCAACTCATGGCTAGAAAATGGCAGAGCTAAGACTTGCAGGGGCGTATTTTTTCAATGTTTAAAAAACAAAGCAAATGACGCATAACAGAAAAGTGCACTTAACACCAATGAATTTTCACAAATTGAGCATACTTTTTAAATTAGCACTCAGGCGAAGGAATAGAACATTGGCAGCATCTCAGAAATCCCGTCATGCTTCCTTTCTAAATTACTACCCCTCTTTCTTACCCCAATGTAACCAACATCCTGATTTCTAACATCATAAGTTAGTTTTTCCTGTTTTTGAACTTTATATAAGTGGGATATAATAGTATATACGCTTTTGTGTCTGGCTTCTTTTGCTCTATGTTTGTGAAATTTAGAAATGTTGTGAGTAGCAGTCATTGCTCATTTTTATTTATTTTTATTGAGAATTACACAGCAGTTCTCAAACTTTTTGGTCTCAGGATCCCTTTAAACGTATACCAATTATTGAGGAACCAAATAAATTTTGCTTATATGGGTTATAGCTATTGATATTTACTGTATTAGAAATTAGACTGGGCGCGGTGGCTCACGCCTATAATCCCAGCACTTTGGGAGGTTGAGGCGGGCGGATCGCCTGAGGTCAGGAGTTCAAAACCAGCCTGGCCAACATGGCGAAACCCCGTCTCTACTAAAAGTACAAAAATTAGCCGGGTGTCGTGGCGAGCGCCTGCAATCCCAGCTACTCAGGAGGCTGAGGCAGGAGAATCGCTTGAACCCAGGAGGTGGAGGCGGAGGTTGCAGTGAGCCGAGATCACGCCACTGCACTCCAGCCTGGGAAAAATTTTAAAATATTTATTAATTAAATAACTCATTACATGTTAACATAAATAAATAACATATTTTAGTGAATATAATTATATTTTCCAGAAGAAAAATATTAGTGAGAAATATGGCATTGAGTATAAACTAGGGTCCTGGCAAGTATGTTAGAATACTGACCCTGTATGCAGTGGCTGACTTCCGGAGGTCTTAGCCAAACCCCAGAAGAGCACAGGAATGATGGCAGTGGGAGGCACTAGGATGGAGACCATGCACAGTTCCATTGTCTCTGGGTTTCATGCTTCAACAAGCAGCAGGTACAAATGGGTGTTTCAAGGAGACATGACATTGGTACACGGAAGGGACCCAGTCAGTTTGGTAAATGTGTAAATGCATGATGTGGTTAAAAAAAAAAAAAAAAGTTGATCACTTTGGGTAGGAAATGAAGATAATGGGAGGGCACAGACCAGGCAAGTAGGGAAGGGAGTGGTAGCAGAAAATAATATGTTTGTTTGGGAGGCAGAAGACCTACTTTTCAGGGTACGTGGCAAACCCTTTAGTGTGGTATTTATGGCTTCAATCTGCTTTCTAGACCCATCTGCTACTCTGTCCCATGGTCCAGCCATTTCATTCCCCAGAAAGGCATGCACGTGCACACACACACACACACACACATATCTCTGCCACTATTCATGCTATTTCCTTTACCTGCAATGACCTCTCTTCTTTGTCTCTCCTTTACTGCCAGTTAAATTTCTGATGATTCTTCAGGACCCAGTTGAAATGCCTGCTCCTGAGCACCCGCCCAGACACTGACCTACTTCTTCATCTTTGCATCTTAGCTCATCATTCTCTTTTATGTTCCCAGAGCACTTTGTACTTACTCCTATTTCAGAATTTGACCTGTGTCATTATTGTCCAAGTGTCTGTCTTCCCCTCTAGACCAAGAACTAGATAAAGCAAGCCACGGATCTTAGACACCTGTGAGTACCCAACCCTGAACATAATTCCAGGCATATAGTAGGTCCTCAATATATGCCCACTGAATTATTAAAATGACTTGGGTCTGTAGTGTTTGTCCTGCAGCTTCAAGTGGACAGCCCAGCTCTTCGTGACCTGGTAAGACACTTGCATATATATATATATGTATATATATTTTTTTGTTTGTTAGTTTGTAACATTTTATGTCCTCTAAAGTGAATAGCAATGGTCCTGTTAAAAGTTATGAAGCAAGAATGGGTGGAAAGAGACAGGAAAAAGATAAAGAAAGCAGGAATACTCTGTTCTCATATTTTAAAAAATGTACTTGGTAGTATTTGTTTTTGCTGAGAAAGAGTAGAGGCAGCCCTGGTCATAGCACTGCAGTAGGAGACGGGGGTGCCCCATGACGCATCTTCCTCACCACAGGACTTCCATCAAATCCCTTAGTCTGCCCTCTGGTTAGGGACAATATTACCTTCTTCCCTTATCCCAAGGCTTAGGCTTTTCACATAGCCAAAGACCGTCTGAAGTTATGAGTATATTTTTAACAAGAGCCATATGGCGATAATGTCCTGCCTTTACTGTCCTCCGCAGTAAGGGCATATCACCCATCTTCTGATTCCAAGTCCTCCCTCCTTTGGGAAGTCTTTCCTGAGAAAAGCCCACAAATTATGATGCCTCTTGACTCTTTTGGCTGGGGAGTTGAGTGACACAGTATATGAGAGTGTAAAGATGGAAATGTTTCGCATGCAAGCTTTTTCCCAACTAGACTTGAGACCTTGTCCGCAGAGATAGTGGCGCATCATTTTCTGTCCCCAGCAATGTCTCACATGAGGCATTCCACATCGGTGCACAATAAATATTTGCTGATTGATCAAGGATGGGTGGGCAGGCTGGTCTGTACCTTTCAGAGACTGTAGGTCATGCATATTTACTTTGTCTGTGGCTGATTAATTAACCTTCTGTTGTCAAGCCATCTCTGAAGCTGGAAAGATAAGAAACAGCCCTGTCTCAGCTTCAGATTTAGAGGTCAGGAGGTCTTGATTTCTCTCTGTGGCTTCTTCATTAACTGGTACAAACTTGGGTAAGCCAATTTGTTGTTCTGGGTCTCAGTTTCCTGGACTGAAAAAAGAATGGGAGACTTAGGTTTCATGGCCAAGATAGAGTAACAGAATCCAGGCATACCCTCCTGCATGAAACAATAAATAAAAACAGACAAAATACATGAAACAATGGGTTTTAAGACATTGAACATTAGGCAGTGAAGGACAGTAATCCCAGAGAGATGGGAACAAACAAGGGGAGCCCTATGATAACCTTAGCCTGTTTCCTTCAGAAATTTTCAGAAAGTGACATAGGGAAGGGTACTGAAGTAGAGCCTGGTAGACCTCCTTGAATTAAGGAGACAGAACTGAGGGTCCAGGGAGACCAAGAAAGGAGAGCTCATAGGAAAGAACAGTAGAGAGGAAAGAGCTACTCTAAGAAAGACCTAGAGTAGTCAGCAGAGTACTGATCAGCATGTATGTGTGAGAAAGCTACTCAAAGGTGGCAAATAACCATCTGACATGATTAGAGGGAACTGTGCCTTGTGCTCACATAGGGCCAGAAATAGCGCTGCTTCCTTCCAGGCAGACTGGAGAAACTCATAATTCATGGGACATTGAGTAGTCAGGAGGTCTTGCCTCAGTAATGGGAAATAACTAGCCAAGACTAAGTGCTGTTGCAGACCCACCTAACCAACCACAAAAGCAAAGCCAAAAGAATCAAACTGTTTCCAGGTGATTTAACTGACCATACCAAGTGTTGATGAAGATGTGGAGCAAATGGAACTCTCATTCACTGCTGGTGAGACTGCAAAATGGCACAACGCATTTGGAAATCATTTTGGCAGTTTCTAAAAATGTTAAACATACACCTGCCATATGACCCAGCCATTCTATTTAGGTATTTACTGAAGAGAAATGAAAGCCTATGTACATTCAGAGACTTGTACGTGAATGTTCAAGGCATCTTTATTTATAATAGCCAACAACTAGAAACAAACCAAATACCCATCAGTAGGTGAATGGATAAATTGTGGTGTATCCATGCAGTGAAATACTACATGCAACAATATGGATAAATCTTAAAATGATTATGCTGAGTAAAAGAAGCTAGACAAAAAGCACATACTATATGATTCTTTTTTTTTTTTGAGACGGAGTCTCACTGTGTTGCCCAGGTTGGAGTGCAGTGGCACAATCTTGGCTCACTGCAAGCTCTGCCTCGTGGGTTCAGGCCATTCTCCTGCCTCAGCCTCCGGAGCAGCTGGGACCACAGACACCTGCCACCATGCCTGGCTAATTTTTTGTATTTTTCAGTAGAGACAGGGTTTCCAATCTCCTGACCTCGTGATCTGCCCGCCTCAGCCTCCCAAAGTGCTGGGATTACAGGTGTGAGCCACCGCGCCTGGCCTATGTGATTCCATTTTTATAAAATTGTAGAAAATGCAAACTAATCTATAGGGACAGGAAACAGATCAGCGTTTGCCTAGGGATGGTTTGGAGAGGAGAAAGAAGTGGGCAAATGAGAGAATACAAAGGAGCATGAGCTAACTTTTGGGTTTTTAGATGTGCTCATTATCTTTGTTATGATGCTGGTTTCACGGGTATCCACATATATCAAAACTTATCAGATCATACACTTTAAATATGTGCAGTTTATTGTATGTTAATTATTCCTTAATATAGTTGTTTTAAAACTCCATTAATTTATCGCATACTTTGAATTAATCTTTTACCCATCCATGCTTAATTTTGTAACAACACGCATTAGTCTTTTGGAAAATGTTGTTTTACTGAGGTATGCAGGCAGACCTTCCAAATATTCACAGATTTTGCCATATATTATTTAAAAAGTCACATTTGTTACTAGTACCACAGACCTCATCAGGACAGTCTTTAAGCATGGGGACACTGTCAAGCTCATACAGATTTTCCAAAATTCTATTTTTTACTTGAAAGCTCCCATATATTTTATTTATTTATGTATTTTTTAGAGATGGGCTCTCACTGTATTACTGGGGCTGGTCTTGAACTCCTGGGCTCAAGCAATCCTCCCACATCAGCCTGCCGAAGTGCTGGGATTACAGGCGTGAGGCACTGTGCCTGGAGAAAGCTCCAATATTATCATTGGTAGCAAATACTGCTAGTTAAGTGAGAGACTCACTTTGTTCATTTTCCAGGAAGTGTCTGCCAAATTCCTAAATCTGAATAACTGTAGTTTGTCTGTTAGCCATTCTTTCAAGTAAAAATAGGGTTCCATGACAAAATTGTCTAGTTCAACTCACAACTCTAACAAGTACTTTTCCTCGAGACAACCATTATACATTGGTGTGTAACAGATGTGCCTTATGCATGCTTCCTAGTTCATCATATGGAAAATGTGCCCAATGATCAGATTAGACATAATTGATTTTTACTGCTTCATCAAGGACTTTGTTTACTGTGAGTGTGTAGGGTGAAGAATGCCATGAATACCAGTACAGTTGGTACCACTGCCTTGATTTGTGCTGAGGTGCTGGCAATATATATATACCTTTGCTTTTGCACCATCAGTACAAATGTCAATGTGTCAATGTAGTGAAGAAGGCAAATATCCTTTTAGTGTTATCAAAATGATTTTGACCTTGAGGACCCCTTGTAAAGGTTTTGGGGACTCCTCAGAGATCCACAGATCACATTTTTGAGAAAAGGTTCTATGCAGCATTATATTGTCAGAATATACTACA